GAGAGGTAGTTTTAAAGATTGACGTCTGCGGTCTGTTAGGTGTGCAAATATAACGAATTTTTCACATATTTGTGCATATACTCGTATATACTGGTCTGCCTTTTGGCTAAAAGGTAAGAATGGAAAGAGTAGAATGAGGAGAGATGATCTGAAAACGTGGAATAAGACGATACAAGGTTAACACACGTCGAGATCGAGGTCACTTAGTCCCCTGGGTGTTCGGGACACGTCTGTTTTCTCTTGAACCAGTCGTCGATGCAACTAAATGATAAAGAAAAATAGGCATGAGGAGTTGCGATCATATCGAATGATTTCAAGAAAACATAAAAAAGAGGAAGTAAGGAAAATAGCTTACTGTTTATGATAAATACACAGGCAAGGAAGTCGAGCAATGTTATCACCGGCCTTCAGATCCTCCAAGCAAATAGAACATTCGCCCTTGTCACTCTGCAGGGTATCCTCTGTAGATAGAAAATATTCAATTAAAGCTTCTCATCCTGACCTCACGACAAAAATACGTGTTCTGCTATTTAGCTCGTACTATGGGACTAAATATTACAGGCGGTGTGATTGATCACTAAATTCATATAAATGGCCAATAAGCATCAATTTGGACTAACTACGCACTTGTCTCATCTTTCCAAGCCTAAGGCATTACAGGGTCTTAGTACATTAAGTTTAGAAGGAGTATTAGAATATGAGCGAGTGAACTGAATCGATTAAGTAGAAAGTTACAAGGTTATGAACTCTAAATAAGCCAAAGCTTTTGAAGATGAGATATTATCTTCTATTTTACCCTAATCCATATGCGCATTTGCCCTCTGGTGATGAAACTCGGGTCTAATGTTTTGCCATAGAGATAATAATGGGAAAAAATGTACGCGAGATATTACTTACCATTGTAAGTAACACGGGGACGAGTTAAACACATTGTAAAGTGGAGCTCAACGTCATCGCTAGGAATCAAGCGCTTGCAGGAGGGACAAGTAAGGTCGAGATCTGCCAGAAGAAAAGAAAAGTACACACATGTATGACAATAATTTGAATAGAGAAAAGTGCGCGCATGCCAGAATTTAAGAAAAAATTCGAACTACCTGTGAAATAGAAAAGTTCAAAATGTACCTCCTTATTGGTCAACATCGAGGTGTACCAAGGTCATGGGATAGTAGCTAATATATCTAATGTAAAATTATTTTGGAGAGCTCAGATGAGTAAGAATCTCCTAGGGTAAACAAAAAAATGAAGACAGGACGAATAGCTTCTTAGTTTAATACACAATTACAACTCTCATCACGGAATTAATCCTTAATTAACCAATAGAAAGCGTGTAAATGTAGAAGTTTGATGAAGCCAGATGGTAATGATGTCTTCTCAACTTCTAACCGAGCCTCTTTCACCTCTTGTTAACTACTTCTACCTTTTCCAGTGTCTCGATTCTTCCCCTGGTTAAGCATCGCAAAATGTGCTTCCTTTGCCACAAGGAATACTCTTACTAAAGAAAAGACTGCAGTAAAGGACAGAAAAGTGACGTGAAGAATTCCTTTTTAAAACATAAAGTCCTTTCTTTATTAGAACAGGTCGAATGAACCCAACGATAAAAAGGAGTCAACAGGCACAATTCCAGGCGCCCTGACATACTTTAGACTAATGAAGCCGTCAAATGCGCAGGCATATCGTTGTGTTAGAGACTGCATTTACGAACATTAATCAGTAATGGGACTTTTGTTGTCATTCACCATAATCAAATTTGTCTACCAATACGCGGCACCGGGATAATTTATCTCTATTTCAGATACTCTTCAGGGAATTCTTCGCAGATAAATTGCAACAATTAATAGCTATTCGACTGGAAAGTGTAAAATTGGATGGGAATTTAGTGAATGAGACCGTTTTAAACCCCTCTAATAAGGAGAAGAGGGAAGGGGGGGCGGAATGAAAAGGGAAATACTCTGAAATTAAAATGATTTAAATAATATGGTTTTTAAGCATCGTATTTAGTGCATAAGAACTTAAGGAATGAAAATGTGTCTATTATGCTATCGATCTGAAATATACTTATAGGAATTCATGTCTGAGTATTGCTTTTTAGGCAGTCCACTGATAAGACCAAGAAGGAATCAGCAGCTCAACGAAGATTCCACTTTTACAATGTATTATGAAAGTAAAACCTATTTATACATATATACGTCGAAGTAGATTTAGTAATATAACAGTAGAAAGACTTCAGTCCCAGTTACGAGCACTTGAGGATAGTGACAGTAGTGAAAGCAATCCGCTCGCCACGGGGACAACTGACATTTCGAGCAGTGGGCAGGCATATATTGGGTCTGAGCTTCTAGTTAGGTCATGGTAGAAACATGACCTGTGACCTGCTGATGTTTACATCAAGAAGCCACCCCATATCAACCAATCCTGCTAAGGAGTCATCGCATTCCCTATCAAAATGAGCAACAGAGAGCGATGGCATTAACATTTAGTGGATAAATTTAGTTGGAGTTCAAGCCACACCCGTCCGATATTATATTAAAAGCCCACTAGACATGGGATGAGTGTACCTCCACTGTGACCACGTGGTTGGCTCACACAGTGCGTAAGCGTAAGCATTAATTGACACCGGGTTTATACCTCCTCACCCACCCGCCCCCCCCCCTGTGAGAAAGAAAACCAAAATATTTTCTAGGGTGTTGAGCAAAGTTTTCTGGACACATCTACCTAATGACAATGAACATGTTTAGGCATTAAGATGTCAGCAAATGCCAATCGAATTAATTGAAATAAAATGGGAGACCATACGAGATTTGACGAATAAAGAAACTGACACCTCATACAAACAAAGCGAAAGCATACATGCGGGGTAGAAGAAACGAATAAACTTTTCAAACCACACAACTGTGTGTCAACTGATAATTAAAATAAATTGCTGAAATGATGAAAATGTATTCTCAGAATTACTCTTTAACTCGTTAAGGAAGATGAAAACTATTCACACCTTAACTAATAAGACAAGAGAGTAGTTTCCACAAAGCACTTCATTAGCTAATTAAAGACAGCATATTCATTAGTGCAAATCAATCCCATTTGTGGAGATAGAAATACCACCAGACTGAGAGCAGTTATAGACCGAATAACTGTCAAGTTGTCAAGAGTGGATTGGATCCCCTTATTAATGAAGATGATGAGCAATTCATAGGCCAACCCATGGGAATTGTTCATCCCAAGACAAAACATAAATAACAGTAGATTTGAACTTTGTTTAATAGGCTTCTTATCAATTAGCCTTTACATATTTAGGGAGGGAGTAGACTAGAGCCACATGATTTACAATCCATAAAGCACGCTAAAAGTAGGCTTGCAACTTTGCCTAAACAAAAAGAGGCACATACACAGCACAGAATGTGGACCAATGGGGTGATCAGTAGTTATTGACTAGAACAGGCGATATACCATGCTCAAAGCTTTCACCCAGGCTGAGGATTGCGGTCAAGCATGATGATCGCATTCCCTACTTTGCATAATCAAATTGCTTGACCTATACATTTGAAGTGATTTGATAAGGACAAATTCAGATATAGCTTTCTAAAGTACTAGCCACTAAAAAACCACGAAAATATTAATACTCTTTAAGAATGACTTACTTGAAGAAGCACACTGGGATAGTCATACTAAAGAGATTTATGTGGACACAAAATATGCATCCTAGAAATAGCGATTTGAAAGACAAGACAAACTTAAAGTGGATTATACACCCGACGAGGTATCGGAGAGGCTAAATAAAGTCATCTGAACAAAGTTTACATTTCAATGGTACTAGAATTTTGTTAAAGTCATACAATAAAAGTGCAATTGAACATGATATTCCTTTCTCATTTGGGGGCATAACTATATTTAAGTATGTGGGGTGGGCAATAGACATACCTCTACGTGGTGCACCCTGGGCAACGTATACTTATACGACAAAAAGTCTATTGATCGGCAGTTGACTTCTCACTTCAAACTACTATGGCCCGACTATTTGTCATATTCGACCCCTTCCAAAGTACTCATCTTATCTCTTTTATGCCTTTGTGTCTGTCTGTCTCTTTTACATCTGTGAATCACTCTTCTGTTCCCCCTCTTAACCTTTTGTCGCTGATGTTCCTTCTCCTCCCTATGAAGCCCCGAAGTCAGCTCCAGAGCTAATGATAACTATCAAAACGCCTGCCATTTGATATAAATAAATGATATTTAAGTATATTCCACAAGATTCATTGATAGTGTACTAAAATAATGAACATTAAGATTTTTCTGCACGGGCAAGGATATGCAGCATTACGAGCAGTGTGGCCACATAAAATTGGCCTTTCAAATAGCTGGAAAGTGAGTTAAAGCGACATTCATGTGAAATTTAACCTAATCCACGGCGGGATTCACCAACGTTAGCCTAACCCTAACCAAGGGAAATCTGAATAATAACTTGAACTTAACAGAGCAGGAACGCTTTTGGAAAGTGAGGATAAATCAGTGTTTTAATTGGCCAATGAAGAATTTTAAGGGCTGTATCATATTCCTTTGAGACATTGCGGAACGTGAAGTAGTCTCATTTGATTCAGTGTTTGACTTACATCTAGGTTTGGGGGAAGCTAAGTAAATTGATTAAAGATCAGTCACATACGAACGCAGGTGCAAAGAAGAGTATAAAAGCAAAGTCAAAATTGGCAAGCATAAGAGATTGAGCCTTGATTAATGTGGAAGATATATGGATTGAAAGTTAGTCCATGAAACCACTGATTTAGAAGTAATAAAACTAAGGTATAGCGTTTGCTCAACAGTATCATAATTCAATTAAAACCATCTTAGAATAGTTTAACGCGATTCCTCCCAGTTTTTTTTCTAGCCATTTGATTAATAGGGAAAATAAAGAGCTAAATCATCTTATCTCACGCGATTGATTAAGAGAGCCAATGCAATGGTAGAAAGTTACTAATAATATATACATATACTTATTATACTGTTTATATATTTTATCAAGATGGAGGAAACATGTTTAAGCACCCAACACCATGGAAAAACGATAAAAGCCTTTGATAGTACAGACAATTCCAATTTGATACCGCATTAAAGCATCGTAAGGTCCAAAATGGCACTCTTGGCTTATAACTTGCATTTATCAAGGAAATAGACGCGTCGGGGTTCGAGGTATGAAAATTCTGATGTACCGAACCTCTACAGTGACACAAATGAAGTTAAACAACACGGCAGACACATTGCTAAGAACCCAAGTTGGGTTAGTGGAGTATATACCTTTTGCCACACAGTGAAAGTACTACAAAACACTTCCTCCTCCCCATTTTAAACTCGGGAATCACAACAACCCAATCTGATGTAATAACACTTATATACGCCGATTAAATTTCGCATTTGATTAATTCACGCCAAAATATTTAAGCGTGCACTTTCTTGAAACGAATCATTACGAATAATTACATAATCCTCCGATTGTTCGAGAGAGAGAGAGTACTTAAGAGAAAATAAAACATCACAATAGGCATCAACAAAATTGTCAACAGAGTCAAACGATTAAATCATTTCAAATGTCGGCGGCATAATTTACTTACAGAGAACTACCTAAATGTTTGCGAATAACAAAACTATTCCTCCGATCCTTAAATCGTGCAACTAACTAACTAACGTAGCAATGTCATCCGTCAAGGTTACAAGTATGCATAATTTATTACTGTAGCAAGTGTGTACAGATAAGCTTGATTGAACATTGATTCCTAAATTGTTGGAATATAAATACTCCTTTGAAGCCCTGAAAATAAAAAAATCTACAAAATTTTCCATAGTTTAGTCTTGAAGAATAAGTTGAAAAAAAGAAGTCGTTTTGCACGATACGACCATACTGTTAAAATAGTTGCAATATTTAGACCCACACGTCTAGCATTCCATGATAATTGGAATGATATGTCAGTAAAAGGTCAACCTGAGTAAGCCTCAAATTACATTACAATTGATGCAGAATATATGAGCTTAACTTTTTAGCAACAATTTACATCTATGATCGAGAGTTATCGGTGTGTGCACTTCACTATGGCAGATAACAAATTCACCAACCAAATTACAATCTGTCTATTCAATACTGTGCGTTAACATTGAAGTACTTGATAATATCAGGTAAAAAAAAACATTTTTTAGCTGATGCAGAACACATTTAAGCCAACACAAGTGGACTCAAATTTGAAGTTAATTCAGAAAAAGTTCATAGACTTCAATAATGAGATAATGAAAATAAATGAAACGAGATTTACCCAAAATTCAACAGCTGAATGGATGAAAATGATAGGAATAAGGAAAAATTAGGGTCAATAGAAAGGTTGAGAAATACAACGAGTTAGATATATGCTTCAAGAGGAGAGGGAGAGTGCTAATAAAGGACAATGTAGACTGAAGTGGAGACAACTTGCATGTATAAATCATAAATGAGAGAGAGCAATATAGGAAAGGAGAAAAATATATGTGCTGCTCTAGGAAGGAGTTTAGAATGAGAGGGTAACGCTGAAATACCAACAAAAATAAAAAGCACGAGATTCTCCCCGCATATACACAAGAAATAATTCGATGGTGTACAAACTTTATGACAAGTTAACAACGCTGTCTTTTTTATTGGCTTTGTGTTTTGTTTCTTTTATTAAATGACAAAGAGGGATGGTTGGCTTGGAGTAGTCGTCGTCTAAATTTGTTTATAGCTTTGTCAAAGTTGTACACCTAGTGTATATGAAACTCGGCGCTGTTCTGGTGCTTACAAATCTATCCCATTTACCTTAGCAAAATCAGGCATTATTAGCCTACAAATAGCCCACTTACTCAATACGTCATAGCATCGGTCGAAATGACGTTCGAAAAACATCTAGGAGCTTACAACAGCCTAAGCCAAAACAGGCACATTTCGATGAGATAGACGGTAAGCAAACCTTGATCTAATAGAGGTCATGGTGTTAAAAGCAATCAGATATCTAAGCATAAATGGAATAAATGGTAAACAATAGGCGCGTAGAGATGAGGAAATGTCTCGAAACTTTACTGAATACTTTAATCACCAAGCTTATCTAGAGGTTACAAAAAATGAAGTATATATTTTGTGATATAAGATACAGGGAATGGAGAATCACATTATAAACCAAAAAGACCGTCTTAAACAATGTTTATTTTTATAAACATTACCAGTCATTACATAGAGCAAGTAATAAAAAAGCACACTGACACACTCACCAAAGAAGTCAAGTCATACATGAACTAGAAAAACGCTAAAATTAATGAGATATGACTATAATAGTAAAAGCGTAGTACTCATATGATGAAATTTGAGAGAACAGGAATTAGTCGTAATAAGTACTTAGAAAGAAGTAGATAAAGCAGTGGAAAATCATTCCAAAGAAGTAAAAAAATAGTAGTGTCAAATATTTTGTGTAGCGAAGGAAAATATGTAAAGAACTGAGAGAATATGCTTGATGAGCACAGTCCAGTTAGCTTTAGACATTAATGACAAACACAATTTATTCTGTTGCAGTTGAAATAAACTCTACAAGTGTTCAACTAAGAAGTTGAAAAGTTTAAGGTGATAATGTGATACTATGGAGAAAAGAGAATCCAAGCAAATTTAAAAGATGTACCCATTCAATAAAACTAAGTTTGAATTTAGTGACACACGCCTTAACTTTTAAATGCTTCCTAAAAGAAGGATAATGAAGTAAAAAAGCAAGCAGATATTAGAACAAGAAAACACTGAGAGTTGATCGAGTTTGGTGGGGAAAATACTACCAAACACTTCTACATAAAGACAAGTTGGAGGTTTTCGCAACAAGGCCAGGATGGAAAAGAGGAATGTTTAAGCAAAATTTACATTTAACTGGCTTCTGGCCACAATAAATAAAATCTACGCAAAATACGAGAAAGAAAACAGCATTCGAAAGAACACTTAATGAGGCCAAAATTGGGTTTAAAAATAGTAACGCTTTGGAAATTAAACAACATACACAACCGAACTAACAGACTAAATACATCCAGAATAAGTGCGTTCCGCTGTACTGTGCCAAAAAAAGTTGAGCTAAATTTTAGAATCAAACTCTAACAAAGGAGAATTTTAAAGGCATTGTTAGGATGACGTTAAACACAAAAAAATTTTAACGGTTTTCGCAAAAAATGTCCAAGCAATCATAAAATACAACGCCCTAAATTAAATAAAATGTATTTCACAAAGTTCATCGGATGCAACTACGCTTTCGCGTGTTATAAATCAGAGAAACCAAATTTAAGAAAAAAATACCCCTTACTGTTCGAAATAAAAACAATAAGGCAGTCAAAGTCACAAGTGATATACTTAACACACGTCTTTCAAGGAATACTAAAGAAAAAAGGTATTCTTACCAGTGAAAAGATTATCGGGCCACTGACGCCGCCCATTGGGTGAAGATGCAGAAGCCGCAGCCAGTGAGAGGAGGATCTGCCTTCTAAGAGAGTCCAACCTTTCTTCCATAACATCGTTTTGATTCGTCGCCGAGGTCGAAGCCGAAGTACGCTGACGACCTTGACTTCGCCTACTTCGGTGTGACCTTCGACTACTTGCTTCAACGGACGCAATATTCAAGAGGTCAGCAATATCCACAACAGAAGCTGGACGAACCCTGGCGCCCGGTTCACCAGAATTCGAGGATCGATAGGAGCGCATTAATCGATGGAACCGGGGATCACCGGGGAGGATTATTTCACCAGACCTTTCAACCTCAGATAAAACACAATCGAGAAAAGAAGTAGGAGAAGGAGCACGGCCAGTGCTGGCATGATGATAATGACCGTGACCACCTCCACTAGTGCGCTGTCGGTTTAAACGACGAGATACCGACTCATTAGACGAGCCTGTTGGATGTTGCTGAGAAAGACTTCTGGCGCGGGGAGCGCCTGAACCTGGGGAGAGGGAATGGCGATGTCCTTGGCGGCGACGTGCGGGAGGACTGAGACGATCGGCGGAGGGATTGGGAGAATCAAGACGGTCACTACTGATTCGCGAACCCATTTTCTTTAGAGTCAAATCACAGAACAGGAACAAATAAACACGTTATAATAAGAGAAGTAAAACCAACCAGCGTCTAAAACTAGCAAGATATTTGAAGACTATTAATTTAGACACAAGCAACTTCCAACTTAAAATTCACAGTTTAGACTAAACTGTTGTACCAAAAATGTAACAAACATATCAGCTAAAAGCCAAATTAATGCGAAACTAGGTTTTCTCAAAACAGTAAATTCAAAAATGTGTTAAACGCAGAAAGCTATGATACGGACAAACTGTGGTCACTTGCCAGTTCACAAATAGTACTTGGGGCTCGACTAGCAACCGCAGGATAAGGTACACACAACAATGTACTCACAATTTCAAAGACAGCGGCAACCGTTAGAGTTCTTTTAATGGTTCTAAGATTGTAAACCGTAAAAAATTAAAATTATATTGATTTATTACTGCAATTACAACTGTGTAATAAATCTGTTTAAATTATTGGTATGAACCAATTATACAAGTCACACGCGTAGTTTTATGATATCAAATGGATATTGTCAATGATATATTTCATGATTTTATTCCATTTCCATCAACTCAAGCTGAATATTGATTTATTGTTTCATTTCACACTCAGTGTTTCTCCCCCTATATACTCTTAGCTTCCTGTTTCGAAAGAAATATATTTTGTTCCATTACAGACACCTTAATCGAAATCTATCTCACTTCGATTAATAATTATATATTTTACAATGCTTTTATTACAGTTCTTTGTTTTGTTCGAATTCTAAAAATTTAATCATACATCTTTGTAAAACCTGGCTCGTCTTCAACGTGTTACTCTAAGAAGAATATTCATCCAGTCACTATTTATCCGTAACTTGAAATCGCTAAGTTAATTGAGAAGATAGGCTAAGTCCTATGCTAGTGCTACTTATACGTTACTTATTGCATTTTTAGCAAGATTGTTTTAAAGGGAAAGTAATTAATGATTGTTCCGATCGTGACTTGGAATTTTCGAAACTACACATCTTCCCTAGCAAACATACGACATGTTGGCAAAGGTCACTCCATTGGTTATTTGGCAAAGTGAATGAACGTTGTGGATTTATGTTGACAGCTAAATGCTAAAATTGAGTTCACTTTGAATTAGTTAGACAGCGCTCTGTTCATATTTCTGGAAACCAGTGAACGGGTAAG